AGGCAGTGTCTATCGAAGACTTCCAAGACAGCGCCAAAGATCAGCTGAATGACGTGCCAGCACCTCAACTCAATGAAACTGCTACATCACCAGAAAATTCAATGGAAAGAACGCTATTTTTTGGATATTTCGTTGGCCTAAACATTAAGTTCGAGTAATCACTTATTGTGAATTTTCCTTTTATTGTCCTTATTCAAAACTGCCACATAACTGCTGATTCATTTTGTTGATACTTTCATCTGTAATTTACGTTGCTATTATTTGAATACCAGCATTTTCTGAATTACTGCATTTAATCGTGCGATAAAAATTATATATTCTCAACTTTTGTACATGAGGGTCACCAGTTTACAGGCATCATCAATATGATTAATTACATTTACGATTAGCAGGCATAATTTTTAATTTTTGATTACAGCTTGATGCCACACCGTATTTTCAGTACAAGTATGGAATTTTCAGCATGGATATCGGTAGCCCAAATTTTGCAGGCCAACCATAGATATTGGGTGTGCGTTGGCAGGGGATCGAACCCCGGACCATGTGCATGACCGGCGAGAGTTCTAACCACTGTGCCACCAACGCACATGATAATATAATAAGGTACATATTTATTCCCACCTATGTAGGATACACCAGTTGTATAGGCATGAATAAATATTATTTATATTACATAAATTTGATGCATGGTTGAATTACATGGTTGCTGTCATTTTGTCTTTAGTTCCTTGTGTCTTCTTCTCTTTTCAAAGGTACTGCCTTAAACGAAGGCACTGAAACATTGCCGCTATCCTCAGGATATTGCTAGCCCACCTGGTGAATAACGGAACCACCTCTATCATGAAATCTGCCGACAAGTTCAAAGTTGGTCTCTTATACAACTGGAAATGTCACAATTATGGTGTACTTACCGGTGAATTTGAAGTTTTATGGACTTTCAAACACTCTATGAATCATTTAATTACAATTACTGTTCATTCCGCATCTCTTATATTTCACGTCAGCACCTGTACGAAAATGCTACTTACCTTCCACAATTAACGTAATCGTTTATAATTCCCGCGTGAAATTGACATACCGTATTTTTTTTCAATTACAGTTTTGATTTGATGCTATATCTCATGAATTATTCAGTTGAAAGCATATCTCGAGAATTACCTATTGCCTTATTTGTACATTTCTCTTTAAATATTTCTCTCAAATTTACCAGTATTCAATCTATTTCTAGATTAACAAATCATATATATTCTATGAGTTCTAATTAGTGTACATTTGTTCATGCCTGTAAAAATGGCTGGTTTCTGTTCCAGAAATAAATTATTATTATTATTATTATAAATAGAGGCAAAAGAAACAACAGGTGTAGTCTCTAAGTTCATATATTAAATGGGCCAATGATTTCTGAAGCTCTTACATAGGAATTGGCTCTGGTATCGCTTGCAAACTCACTTAGTGTGTCATTAAGTGCCTTT